GTTAATATTAAGGTTAGGATTAGGGTTTGGGAAGGGTTTTTTGGGGCGTAGAACATTTTTACTTAGAACACCTCACAATAATTAATTAGCCAGTTTTTGAGATAATGTATACATAGGTGTAAAACACCATAGGTGCGTTTTAGTAAAATCCTAGTTTTATAATCAAATTTTGTATTATTTAAAATTTTTGTTAAAGCACATAATTGATAGTGATTTCATATAATAAATTAATAAAAATTTTTTTAACTTCCTATAAAATAATATATTTTCATCCATTAATTACAAATATTCTATCCAAGCACCTAACTATACTTAGCTTTAATTACACGAAAATTATTCAAAGGGCAATTATTATACTAATAGTTAAATAATGGTATAATAAAAATACATTATATCCTATGATATTTTTAATCCAAATGCAAACTATAAAACCTTGCCTGAATCATAACCTTTCCTATATTCAATTTTATCGACCTTAACATCACCATCAACCAATCGATAAACGTAGGTCACAACAACAGAGCCTTGAATATCCATCAAAACAAAAGATGGCTTTATATCTCTGCAATTAATTAAAAAATAACCAGAGGGGATGAACATTTTGATATGAAATTGCAATGAAAATTTCTATAAAATAAATTACTTACTCAGTGCTAAATCCAGAATAAGCACCAGTTGCACTCCCAGGATTAACAAAAAATTTGCCTTCATATTCAATCGCTTCAAATCGATGAGTGTGGCCAGTTAATAGAATGTCCGCATCCATTTGTCGTGCTATGATTGACAAAGATTCAGCATCACCCACAGGAATCACTTGGTGACCATGAAGAACCCCGATACGAAGCGGACCGTGAGTTATGATTTTGGAGAGAGGCAAGTTTGGAAACTAACATCATATTTGATATCATCAATACGTTAAATTGATTAGGATTTATAATATTTATGACATACCTCATCATAATCACCCTTCACGACGTGAACATCTGCTGCTATGGTACGTAAATAATCAAACGTTTCTTTGTCACATACATTCCCTGTACATATGATTTGTTGTATTTTTCCTGGTACCTATTTTGTTCCGGTTGATTCAATTTATTAAATAATTTATGAAGCATGAGTTTTTTATTTAATTGTGATTGAAAAAATAAGAAACTAAATACAACCAGAAGTTTTTTGAACTTGAGGGGAAGATCGTGTACGCGATACGGAACGTGAAGATCACCTATTACTAAAACTAACTAGAATTTTGAGCAAAAATCATCACAATTTTTAAAAGTTTGACAAGCTGTTATTGCCATTTAAATACATTAGGTCTAAACATTTACCACCATTGCGAAGAGAAAAAAGCCTATTATTGAAATTAAGCATGACCGACGTTTTATTTATGTACTAACGTTACACGGAATTTATATATCAAAATATCAAGGTTGATTAATGTAATGTGTATTAATTAATTGATTAAAAAAAGGTTTCTAAAATTTCTAAAATTTATTATATAATATGTAATATGCCAGGGTGAAACCCGCGCTGTGAATTAGTAAAATCTGCTATGTAGCTCACATGAGGGTGAAATCCGCCTTTGCATAATAAAAAATAGCTGCGGATTTAAGCCTTAACGTGATCTACGTGACGGATTTTACTAATTTACAGCGCGGGTTTTACTAGGTCTTATAATAATTCAACGATTAGTTGCTTCAAACTTGATCAACTTTGCGATTAACCGATTTAGATTCATATCACTAAACCAAATTATATTTTGATCGGAATCCTTCTCATATTATGCACCAAATATAACGCAGTAGTTAAAAGTGTTAAGCTACCCGCTTGATGTGCAGATGCTAATGGAATAGGAACCATATAAATTAAGGTACTAATTCCTAAGGTTGCCTGTACGTAGCTTACTCCGAGAACAAAATTAATTGCCAAACGAGCTTTGGGAGGAAGCGTAAGTCGACGAGAATATAACCATAAAGCTGTTATCGCACATAGTGTTGTCATGGCCTATAAATTCAAATTTACCAATCAATATTGTAGTGGTCATAATTAAATGGAAAAAACTTTATAAACATACCAACACTCGATGGTCGAATTGTACAGTTGTTGGATTATCAAAGAAATTTCTCCATAAATCACGTTCACCAAACTTTGTGTATGATTTAGAAAATAGCTCAGACTTAGAGGGGATTATATTTTTTCCCATATATGGAAATTCGTTATAAATTAGTCCTGCATCCAGGCCAGCCACCAAAGCACCTATTTAAATTGGAAATGAATACAATATCTATTATGTAATTTAAATATTAATTTCTAACAAATCTTACCAGACATGGAGGTCAAAAATATTAACACTGCTGTGCAAATAGCTAAACGACGAAATCTATTTAAAGAAGGGTTTGCAAGAATTTTTGCTATTTCCTATAGGTATATTAATTGTGTAAGAACGTTTAATAATATAATTTCATAACATAATTTCATAATCTATTTTCATGTCACCTTAGGAAAAGTATCATAGGCTATCTTTGAATCTCGCAAAATTTGTAGGCCAGTCAGAAACATCCCTGAGTAAAGGATAAAAGCACTGCCCAAATGTGCTGCTAGCCGATGATGACTAACGCGGGGAACGGCACCCGGTGTTGACATTAATTCTTCAGATAATCCGGATTTAACCATATACCATCCTAACACACCCTGAACATTCCATCGAAAATCTTCAAAAAATAAATCTATTTATAATAACATCTAAGTATCATTAGAATACCTGGAATCCAAGTAATCCAACTAAGCCTACGACCTTTTTAATTGTAGGTCTTGACATGTACCCACGAAATCCAAAATATGCTGCTGGCAAAACAACAACCAGTCCAATCAATCGTCCCCATATTCGATGCAACCATTCCATAAAGTATATGTATTTAAAGTCTGATAATGACATTTGATAATTCAATCTTTGACAATTCAAAATATAATAAATTAAACATTTAATATGTGTAGAAACGTTAATTAATAATTATGCGAAGACTTACCTACAATTTGTACTCTGGGAATTGCTTGTATTTTTCAAACTCCTCTTCCCATTGGGTAAATGTTATCGGAGGAATGATGCCAGTTATTGGTTTCCATTCAACAATGGAAAGCCCGCTTTCATTTAATCTGGTGAGACCTCCCACTACGACTATACCAAAAACTAACCCGGAAGATAAAAGCAACCAACGTCCAACAATGGGTTTAGTATAACTATTAGACGAATTTATTTTATGGAATGACGAATGATAAAGCCTAGAATTGGTGAAAGGAGAAAAACCCTGGCGAAATGAAAACCTAGAGAAAGACGAAACCACTGGAGTAACGAAACCATGGCGAAAGGTGAAGCCCTTGGTGAAATGACGTATTCTAATGTTATGTTGCTTAGAAGCCACCCTTGGAATAAGGGTTGCTTTTTCTCTTAAATAGAATGTACAAGCGACAGACATCACATTTCGAGAACGCGTTAACATTTTTGAGTTAAAGATAATCAGATAATTGATGCAAATCATGTTATTGGTCCATTTTGCTTGTGACTTGATCTACCAATCACGGGAAAGTATCGTTTCTATCGCTATGAGGATTACGTAGTAGATCATAGAACAACCACTGCTTCCATCGACTTCAGTTTAGTTAAAAAGAAAAAACATTATTCAAGATGGTAAATTCTTTTTTTTTATACCTCTTTCAAGATTAGTTATCGTTTGAATTATTACAAAACGATGCGATTTACTTATTACATTAACTTTTCAGTCGATTATGAGCCATAATGGATCGGCCATGGTGGCCATGGTCGGAAAGAACTGCGTGGCCATTGCAGCCGATAAACGTCTAGGTGTCCAACTGATGACTGTGTCTACTGACTTTCAAAAAATATTTCCAGTAACAACGAAAAGTTATATTGGACTCGCTGGATTGGCTACTGATGTCCAAACCTTGTAATTTAGTTTAGCCAGGCTATTTTTTTTTTTTTGTATCGTTCATATAACCTTCCAAATGATATAGTTCAAATCGAATTTTATAGAGCCGAAAAGTTTCGTTTTAACATTAATATGTATAAGCTACGTGAAGAACGCGAAATTGAACCGCGCACCTTGTCACATATGGTATCTTCAACATTGTACGAAAGAAGGTAAAAATATACATTCAATTCTGTATTTTTATATCGTGCCATATTTAATTTATCGAAGTGATCAATCATTTAAATTATAGATTCGGACCTTATTTTGTTGAGCCAGTGATTGCTGGCCTTGACAAGAACAATCAACCATTTGTGTGTGCGATGGATTTGATCGGTTGTTCTGATATGGCGCCAGACTTTGTGGTAGCTGGGACGGCTTCTGACAGCTTGTTTGGAATGTGTGAATCTTTATGGGAACCTGACTTGGTATTTTGCTACTATCTTTCATGCTTTAATTGAACTTTTTTTATCGCAGTATTTAATTAAACTTGGAAATTTTATTAAAATAAAGGAACCGGAAGATTTATTTGAAACAATTTCACAAGCATTATTAAATGCAGTCGATAGAGATTGTCTAAGTGGTTGGGGTGCTGTTGTTCATATTATGTAAGTTAAATATATCATAAGTTGATTTCTGAAAATAATCAATGAATTAACATTTTTTTTGTATATAGAACTCCCGAGAGGGTGATCACTCGTAATCTTAAAGCCCGTATGGTAATAAAAATTTTTATACGCTTTAATTTTGTTTCAAATAATTGTACGAATTCCTAACTTGATTGTTTTATACACAGGACTAACAAAAATACAGTTGACTTTTTTTGTATTTATTTACACTGGTATACCAACTTCATATAATAAATATAATAAATTCGTTATGCCACATCTGAACTTAATTAGGTCAATACATACAGTGCTACAACAAATAAATTTGATTATTAAATTCAAATAGATACAAAATTTCACCATAGAATATTAAATCTCTTGTAAATTTGTTTTTAATGAAGTAGGAAAGTTGAGGTTATTAATAAATTTGGCTACGCCAAAGTTATTATAAATTACAGCCAACTATGGATTAGTGATGCCGTAGAATCGTCCCAATGATTGCCGTAACTATTTACGACATAAGCTTTAGCTTAAGCCGTAACATCATTGGGACGATTCTACGGCATCACTACTATGGATATAACGGATAATTTAAAAATTTATTATATTAATTCCGTTATATCGATATCCATAGTTGACTGTAGTATAATTCTGGTCAAAATTAGCAAATGAAAAAAACAATATTAAGGGTAGAGGATGATGTGCACGATTAAAAACTAAAGCACACCAATGATGTTTAACATAATATACTGTATATTTTTGCTATTAATAACATTTGTTGGAACATCAGGATTAGAAGGTTTTTGAAGGTACTAAATGTTTTTATTTAGAATATCCAACACTAATCATTTAACTTGTTTTGAAATCTAGAACTATGGTGTGAATATTACTGATGTGTTTTAATAAGCTCAAAAATCAATTCTTATACAATATGCACAGTATAAATTTTTTTTTTCTTTTCTTTTTTAATAAGGTATAATTTATTTGTTTATACGTATAAAAGTTATATTTATTCAGATTTTTTTTACTTACTGGGCAAATAATTTTGGACACTGATAGTGCACTCAGCTTTAAAACCTGTAAAATATCAAAATAATCTGATTTTCAAATCAAAACTTGATTCTGAATTAAGATCTTAGGCTAAGGTTAGGGTCCTGCAAGTGTCGGCACGCGCATGCCCAGCACTATGTTTTAATACGTAGTGTTGGCACTTGTAGAACCTTAGTTAAAGGTGTAGATTTATATAAAATAAATTCTATACGTATACCCTAAATTTTAAGAAATTTCAAATTCACTTACAACGAAGACATCGAATTTTTATATTTAAGAAATCTGTTCTCGACAAAATATGCCAACTCAAAATAGAAAGTTTTAAACAAACAATTCTAGAACCTGTTTTTTTTTACTTATAGTAAATATCTAGATTTTTATTCTAAAATTATTAACAAAACTAATATTTTAATCAGTCAAATTATAAATGCTAGCGATTTGTTAGTTGTTAGATTAAAAATATGATAATTGAGTAAACTAGCGCTAGGATTACTCTAAAACAATTTATTTTTAAAGTTCGTTATAGCACTCTGAACAATACTGATCATATTGTGCGAGTTCAGTTTTGGCTTTGGCCATAAGACAGTTTCTACAAAGTCCTACTGTTCCTTGGAAATTTCTTTGTAGATTTAGTTTTTAAATCGAAATTGTCAAATTATTCGTTAAAAAAAAAGCTCTAACAAAAACTCATATGTTTTACACTTCATCTTTATAATTCATGTAACAAATATCAACGAGAAAAATATTAAATTTATTTGTAAAACATGTCGCAATCAAAGAATATCTCTATTCAGTAAAATCAAATAAAATATCGATGAAGAAAATAATTACTAGTCTTAACGTGATTTAAAGTAATCCATTAACACGTTCCTAGCTTCAGAATCTTCACCGTAATCTTTAACAACAACGCAAGAACAATTAACCACTTTACGAGGATTTCCTTCACGATCAATTTTACAAAGACCGGCCCATTCACCAAGTTTTTTTGCGTCGCTGACTTTGATCAACTGAATATTGTGTTCAGTACAAAGGGCTTCGACAAGCTTGATGTATTCCTTTTCGGTACAAGTTTCGACAAGGACACACAAGAAAGCCTGGCGTCTAAAATAAAAATTATCATGTAAGGATTATTCATTTCAATGAGATAATCCAGAATTTCGAAAGTTACCTATCCAAAGCTTTAGCACATTCTCTTAGCCCACGCGCCAAACCATCGACGACAAGAGCACGCTTTAAGACATCTTTGAGAGCTTCTTCAACAGTCTATATATTTATGAATAGAATAAAATATATATGTATTTCACAAAGTTTCCACCATTCCATAAATCAAGATTATCGGTGGCATTACATATTCTGAACAGAAACATTAACATACCATAGAACCCTTAGCAGGAGTGTCAGAAGTAATATGAATTTCTTCTTGTGTTCCTGATTCAAGAGTATCTTCAGCTTCATCCCCATCATCTCGGTCTGTTACCAAAGGTGGCATTTTAATTTTACTTGTTCAATGTTAAAGCCTTATGGGATTTGGTAATCCTAGACGTCTTCACTATTGAAGAAAAAGTTAATCATTGAAAATAAAGTGGATGGATGCGTATATAATACGTTTGGTATAGCATGACGTGACGAGAAATTAATGTCACTAACATGATGTACTTATTTTCGCGAAAAGCGATTAAAAAGAGGGATCAATATTTTTTTTTGGTGAGGCTTTTTTATGCATTTTTTTTTTTTTTTTTATAATCGATATATCGTATATAGCATTTCGTGATAATCTATTCGTCATACCAACCAAGGCTGCGGCTATGGTGATGATTAAAGTTCAAACAGTCACCGTTACCAGTCTTGGCGACATGTAGATACGTATAAAAGGCCCAAATAAATTCATTACTGTTGTCTGCGTTGTTCGAGGTATTAGTATAAAATCCGTTATATATATTCATAATTGAGTGTATATGTTGTGCCTCAGACTAACGCTTGCCTCAGATGTCGATTTATTGGCCAGCATTAACTGATCGACATTGAT